TATATATATATTCTAATTTAGAAATTTAGGGTGATTGAATATATACAACAACTGATATGCCACCAACAAATTTTCATCATCCGACATGAATCTCGATGCAATTTTTTAAACAAGAAACATTCAAGCTTCGATTAAGAGTCATCTAGAGCTCCGATTTCAGCAAACTTACAGTCAAAATGATCAGCTCGATGAGACAGATCTAATGATATAAAAGTCAGTCCAATCCAATTCAAATCAAACCCGGATCGAATCATTAAACCACTATTGGAGAATTTCTAGAGGTATTTGAAAGGTCAAATAGATGTCAAATTAACGAGTTCATTGTCGAATCGAGCGTCTCAACAAGACGAATCCAACGAGCCTAAGATTTCTCAATTCCAACATCATTAAGACACTCAAATGTTCATCAAACGTCATAGGATCAAAGGAAGCTCTCCGGACCGTCCGATCAAAATGGTTTATATACCTGCATTAATTTCACTCAAAACACTATAAATAGAGTCTCACCTCTCACATGAAAAGGAGGAGACTTAAGAGAGAACTCGAGGTTTTGAGAAGGAGCTCAAGTCCAAGATCATCTTCACCATCGTCTATCGTCGTCGACCACCACTGACCGTCGACAATCACCGCTGCCCTCCGCACACTGTCAACCACCGTCGGCCACCCTTAATCTTCGTCAATCACCGTTGACCTCCTTCGACCACCGTCGACCGTCATCGATTATCGTCAACTACCGTTGATCCCCGCCGCGCCGACCTCCGTCAACCACCGCTGACTAGACATCGTCAGTCAACGTTGTAACTTGGAAAACTGGTAACTCTTTTCCGCCTGTAGGACAAGGGACATCTGTAATCATCAACTTATAGTGGATATTTACAACTGGGTCAGACCCCGTGATTTTTTTTCTTTACGGGTTTTCCACGTAAAAACTTTTGGTGTTATCACAACTTGGTTCATTTTAATCTCAATGTGTGCTGAATCCTTGCGCAACGTTAAGACGATAATTCATTACTCTACCACCCCGAGTTTTCTAGCACACATCACAACAACAAAATCTTTATCCCACTAAGTGAGGTCGGCTATATGAATCATTTTTCACCATTGTGTTCAGCCATACAACGTGCCCCTTCCATGAGAAGTCCAAGCACTTATACAATTATCAAAAGGATTCATATCATGATTTTTTTAACAAGTTTTACACCAGCTCAGCTACCTAGCGCAACCCTTCACTTTTCACATTCGGGATTGAGACCGGCAATGATAATATTCATATTGTGAGGGGTGCAATACGAGGACTTCCCAAATGTCCACTCATCCTAATTCTGCCTTCCCCAAAGCACGTTGAACTTGGGAGTTCTGATGAGATCCGACATATTGGTGCTGGTATAGTCACACCCATAAATTCAAACACTAAAATACAATTGAGTTACTTAATTTTTTTTCTAACTAAAACTCAACTTAAAAAAAAAAAAGAAAAAATTCTTCAATAATTACTTGCTTCTATTCGAGAGCTTATAATTGAAAGAAATGAATAGCCCTTTTTCAATTATTTTATTAATAAACAAAAGTAAAAAAAGCATTAAAATCATCAAATAAAGTACATAATTCCAAAAAATTAAAGGCCGATCATTTATCAACTTATAAAGTCAAGCACACCGCCCCATTGCAAATTTCGTAGTTGGACGGTGATCTGACTTTCCCCCATCGTTCAATCATAATTCTCTTCATCATGATTTGTCCGAAAAGCTCCCTCGCTGTTCGGGCCCTAACAGTAAAAATCCTACCTTCTTCCATTCGTGACGCACACGGGTAAACACGTTAACCTTACGCTGCATACGTGTAGCGCATACAATCGTCGGATCAAATTGTCACGCGGCTCGATCTCCCCAAGATGTCATCGGATCCCATCGGACGGCTCTGCTTGAATCCCCGTGCCGGTATGAAATAATTGAATGGCAATTTCGATATATTCCGTCGGAATTGTGGCCAATTAATAAAACTGTTGTTCAGTCTTTAAATTGCTTGCTCCCTCTAGCCATAGCAGAGTAGTTTAAAATTTTCTCCGCTGCAAATCCCCGCAGTTATCTAGGGTTTTGATTCATCTACAGCTTCCTCTTCGTTTTTTTGATCTTTGAGGAGGCTGGTGTTCATCAATGAGGGTTTACCCGGCGAATGCGTTAGACGGTGGGAGCAAGAGGCTCCGGCGACTTCCTCATGTATTCAGCAAGATGATTGAGCTTCCATTTGGAGCCGATGCCGACGTCTACATTGAGGAAGAGCCCTCCATGTTCCGGTTCTTTGTGTCGGCTGATGGCGTGAGCGGCGGAGTCCGGGCTCACGCGGTGGCAGTTCATCCCGGAGTGATGAAGGTCGTGGTTCTTAATGGTGCCGGCACTAGCGAAGGGGACTTTGGGGATGATGAGCTTGAGTTCGATCGATGGAGGTTTCGGTTGCCACATTCAGCTCTGCCAGGTCTTGCGACGGCTGAGTATGTGGATGGAGTGTTGATCGTGACGGTGCCGAAGGGCGTTGGTACGGAGGAGCGAAACGGGGTTTTTGTGGAAGAGAATGGGGATTTCAGCGGATCTGCGGTGGGTTCGCTTATTGTTGTACAGTAATTTTCTATCCTTCTTCATTGTCGCTTTCGTTGTGTTTGAGTTGAGATGTCCTGTTTCCTTATGCTTTTGCTTGATATTAATGATAATGATAATGCTAATAATAATAGTGATAGATTGTCTTTTTTTATGTTTTCATTTTTCAAATATTTGATTCAAGTTCTATTTGCTTTTTGGAATCTTAAGCCGAACTTGCTGTGGGTCGTTCAGGATGTATTTGATTATTGTAGGAAATGCAATCATATTGAGTGTTTGACCTCAATGTTTTAACAAATAAATAACTATTCATTAATTTTTAATTTAAATGCCATGAAGTTCAAGTTTCATCATAAAATAAAATAAAAACTTAGAGATTGGTGGTTGGTCATGTTGACTAGCAAGGCAGCAGTGAGGTGGTTGGTTGGTATTTGACGAGAGAAGATGAGCTTCAGGTGGCTGACAATCGGAGGTATTTAAGTTCTGTTTGGGCCACAAACAAAAGCTTTTATTAGAGGTCATAGTAATGTAGCGAGTGGGGGAGATTTTGTGGAGCCACAGTCAGGCAGGCCCCAACATATTGTTTTCTGTTAGGTATGACTTACTAGATAAGGGACATATGCTAGAATAGAACGGAGCAAGTCAGCGAAGTGGAGCGAAAGCATCTATCCAATCGGGAGAGTTTCGTTAAGCGGTTTAGGGGTGCAGGGGCAACGCACTCGCGGTACGACACATGGGTAATTTTATAATTACATATTATACATCAGGGTTATATATGTGTCGTATTTGTAACCCTAAGGGGATTTTGTACTGTTTCGTGAAATTTAAAGAAACTGCCGCTCTGCTCCCGAGAATGTAGGCAAATTGTCGAACCTCGTTAAATCTTTGTGTTTTTTTCTTGATTTGTGTCCATTCTTACTATTTCTTTGCCCTAATTCTTCAACACCTTCAGTATATTGTAGGAGAATATCACAGTTGGAGTGATGAAAGTCATGTTTGACATGTATGAGAAGCCGTTAGTGGTGAATAAGATAAATATAATGAGTAAAAATTTAAATCATATGATGATAGAAGGAGATTGTTTGACAAAGCATATCAAGGATTTACTTTTATCATAAGTTATTTGAGTTTTTTATATCAACTTTCATAACAAAGCTCATGCATTGAGTTTTTCATTATCATTTTTTAAGAGTTGGTATAAAATTGTGTTATGTATGTCGAGCCAAAGCAGCCCAAGATCCCGGTGCCTAAGAGCTCATTTTTGGGCACTGACAGAGAGGGGGCGCCTTTTCACCCCCTTTGGGCACTCGAGCGCCCAATTTTTTGACGCAGACAAAGGAGTTGAAGCTTAAACTCTAGTCTTTGGCGCTTAAGCGCCCGATTTGCTGGGCACGATCTTGAGAGCTTGACGCTCATGCGTCAAATCTGGGCGCCTAAGTGCCCAGGCGCCTAGTACAGTAACTCCACTTTCTGGGGTTTTAAACCAATTTTGAGTGGCGTAATGATGGGCTGGGTGTAGATCTTTCTTTAGTGTTCTTCAACATGTTACTGATGAAAGAGAGAAGAGTTGGAGAGGAGAATTTCTGATATCTCAGCGTGTGTTTTTTTGTGTCAGATTGAACAAGCATGATTGTGGAGCATCTAGTAAGTTTCTTCGTATGATTGTGCAAAAATAACTTGTGTGAGTCTTTTATAAAATTATCTGATTTTCATATTGAATTTATGGTGGTGTGACTTCGTGATTTTTTCCCTTTCTCGGATTTTTCCAACAATTCTCGTGTGTGTTTTTGGTTGTTTTGATTTTACTTTTTTGCTTAAATTTATTACTCCAATTTTTTCGAATCCCGTGATCCTATTCCACTGTGACATTGAGAATTGTTTGGAGGATTTCTAACAAATTGTGTTGGCAATCAACAATTTTTATGAGTCAATAGTTGAACTTGTTGATATTTGTGAATTGATCTCAATTGAGGGTATTCACGGATGATAACTAGCTGGCTCTATAGTTTTGAGGGGTTTTTAAAGACAATCAAGTTAAAGGTTGAAGTTTGTTATTATTATTATTATTATTTTATTTATTCTTGCAGGCCATTGATAAATGAAAGAAGAAAGAAAGAATGATAAACACATTTCATTTTAAATATTATTTCTTTATCTTTTTCATGTTTTTTATTTTTTTAATCGACAACTGATGCCATGTTTTGATTTTATGAATATTATTATTGTTCTCTTCTATAGCAATCATGATTATGATTTATGACGCACTTAGAAGTTCAAGTGTTGAAATCAGAGCAACAATGAATTTGAGCATGCATATGATATATGTGTGTGTGTGTGTGTGTGTGTGTGTGTGTGTGTGTGTGGCTTGTTTGAAACTCAAGCAAGGTTATAACATGATTGTGTAAATTATAACATCAACAATGCCACAATTTCATCAACAACATGCTTATGAAAACCCCTCATCCAGTAACTCTTGTCTAGTATATATTGTTAAGTACAAATCTGCCCTTTGGACCGTGCCTAAGAATTAGAGTCAGATTTCGTGAGAGGGGAAAGAGGGAGAGGATTGCCCCGTCAGAGGGCAAAAGGGGGTGGTCCCGAACTCGACAATCTCTTTTATTCCACACAAATGGGGTTACAATGTGAGGGTGAGCAGTGGCAAACTCCCTGCATGAGGGGGGAGAGATAGAGATCTTAAAGAGACATCTTTAATTATTGAGCAAAGTTTCAAGCACCTGAAATAACCAAATAACAATGCAATGAAACAAAGAAATACAAGTGCCCCAAATAGTAGCAAATAGAACAAATAAAAAAAATGGTCTCAAATGCCCCACTCATAAAATTGCCGCAGATACGCCACCCTCTTTTCCTCTGGAATCATAACAAAAAAAATTTTGTGGATGGGATTTTCAAACAATTCAAGTGCAAATAAGTACAATGTCTATTCCTCAGCAATTTCCTTATCCGCATCCAGAATTAACACGAATTGTTGAATGGAAATAATTGGTATTGAGTGCGTGTCAGAGATAGAGGAAGCTACCAGTTGTGAAATATGGGTTCTGAGGTAAGCTGGTCCGCTTTTCTTTTTACTCTACACCTGGGCTCACTTGGTACGACAGGTGGACTCGACCTCCAGGATGGGAAGTTCGGTTGAGTCAGTCGACAGATCGACCACCAAGTTCTCATGGGTGGCAACAAAACTCGTCTGACTGGGAGCGCATGCATATTTGCCTGTAGCGACGACACCCCCAAATATATTGTCCAGCTTCTCCAAATCAGGGTCAAGGCCACAAAGCTTAAACTTCCTCGCAGTTGACACCACCTATAAAAAAAAAAAATCATGCAATTCAATGAGTACATAATATTAAAATGAAAAAAAATAGAGCAAGTGAAAAAAATCTCACCGCAAGTCATTTTTCTTTCAAAGCATCAATAGTTCGCCTCACCAAATCCCACACCAAGCCCGTTGATCCGCGTTTGAGTTTCTTCCAAAGTTTACAATCCTTGAGTTTATCACATTTGTTCTTCAACTATATCCTGTCATACTCTCAGCCTGTACTCTCCTTTAGTTTTTTGATTATGTTCTGTCACCCTTGTTGAAATATGTCATGGCTCTATTTTTCAGATCAATTTCAATGAGACAAAGGTCACAAAACATTATTTTTATTTCCTTATCCTACAGTGTGGGTGTTGTCATTTCAATCTAACAGTCACTGTGTGTGTGTGCTTCATTTCAATATTCTCTTATTATCACATTGCTTCAGTTGATATCACGAGTAAATTTCAATGGTTTTGAATGGAACTACATTGTCTCATTTTTTCTCTTCTATGCCTCATTTCACAGTGTGTGCGTATGTGAGAAATAAAATTCTCTTCTCATTAAAATGCAACAGGTGATACCACTGGTAAAATTTCAATGGATTTGAATCACATTATATATCTTTGCTAATAGCTATGAGACCACTAGTAAATTACAATGACTGAGAATGAAAATATACATATTTGTAACTTGCTGTGATACGAAAAAAGAGAAGCATTGCTTACATTGCCGTCTCATTCTTTCTTCGTATATGACTTATTTCACAGTGTGTGTGAGAGAGAGAAATATACTTCTCTTCTCATCAGAATGCCACAAGTGACACCACTAGTAAAATTATGTGGCTATGAATGAAAGTATACATATTTGTTACTAGCTGTGAGACCAAAAAAAGAAAAAATAATGTCACATCACTGTCTCATTCTTTCTACTTCTTTGTTTCATTTCATAGTGTGTGTGTCTGTGGAAGTAATATACTTTTATTTTCACCAGATTGCCACAGGTAGTATCACTAGTAAATTTCAGTGACATTGAAGCTACTAGCTGCGAGACCACTAGTAAATTTCAATGACCGGGAATGAAAGTATATATATTAATAACTAACTGTGATGCAAAAAAAAAGGAAATATTGCTCACTTAACTGTCTCATTCTTTTTTCTTTTATGATTCATTTTACAGTGTGTTTGTGTGTGAGAGAAATATACTTCTCTTTTAATTGGAATGTCACAGGTGGTATCACTAGTAAATTTTAGTGACATGAAATAATATTATGCATATTTGTAACTAGCTGTGAGACAAAAAAACATGAATTACATCTGTCTCATTCTTTCTATTTCTCTTCCTCATTTCACAATGTGTGTCAGAGAAATATAATTCTCTTCTTATTAGAATGCCACAGGTGGTACCACTAGTAAAATTTCAGTGGATTCGAATAACATTATACATCTTTGCTACTAGTTGTGAGACCGCTAGTAAATTTCAATGACTGAGAATAAAAGTATGCATATTTGCATTTAGTTGTGATGCAAAAAAAGAGAAACATTGCTCACATAATTGTCTCATTCTTTCTTCTTGTATAACTTATTTCATGGTGTGTGTGTGATAAATATACTTCTCTTCTCATCAGAATGTCATAGGCGGTATTACTAATAAAATTCAGTGACATGTAATGGTATTGTGCATATTTGCTTCTAGTTGTGAGGCTAAAAAAAAAAGGCTCACATCATTGCCTCATTCTTTCTACTTCTCTGTTTCATTTCACAGTGTGTGTATGTGTGTGTGAAATATATTTCTCTTATCATCAAAATGCCCTAGGTGATACCGCCAGTAAATTTCATTGGCTTTAAATGAAATTAGACATATTTGCAACTACCTGTGAAGTAAAAAAAAAAACAAACATGACTTACATTACTGTCTCATTCTTTCAACTTCTCTGCCTCATTTAACAATGTATGTATGTGTGGGACTAAATACTTGTATTTTTATCAGATTGTCATAGATAATATCACTAGTAAATTTCAGTGGCATAGAATGATATTATGCATATTTGCTATTAGCTGTAAGGTTAAACAAAAATATGAAAAATATGTCTCACATCACTGTCTCGTTCTCTCTATATTTCTACCTCATTTCACAATGTGTGTGTGTGTGAAATATACTTCTCTAGTCATCAAAATGCGACAAGTGGTACATTTAGTAAATTTCAGTGGCTTTGAATCAAATTAAATATTTTTGCTATTAGTTGTGAGGCCAAAAAACATGAAAAACATGGCTCGCATCAATGTCTCATTCTTTCTACTTCTTTGTCTCATTTCGCAGTGTGTGAAAATATATTTCTCACATCACCAGAATGTTCTAGCTGATATCATTAGTAAATTTCGGTGGCATGAAATTGAGTTATACATATTTGCTACTAGCAGTGAGTCAAAAAAAAAAAAAAATCAGGGAAAGATCTACCACACCAAAAACATCATCATATAGAATCACCAAACCAAAAAAGAGCAACGAGAAACGGAAATGTCTCAAAAAAATATAGAGAGATGGGATACCGCAATAATGTGGACTCCAACACGATGGTTAGGGTAGAGGAGGAAGAAGCTCCGCGGCGGGAAATAGAAAGAGCAGCAAAAAGGAATGTGGGATCGAAAGAGGGGTATGCGTGTAAAAATCTTGAGAATAAAAGCGGGTTGCAGAGTCGATCCCGCGACCCGCTTTTCGCTGCGCGATGGTAACGCTGCAATTGGAAAGCTGCTTCAAACGATGAAAGGTCGTGGCCCGCTGCCGCGAAGCGCTAAAACAGGCGCCCCAAATGGGGCCTAAATTTCTATATTAATAAAATACAATCATAGCTCATTATTTACTTGTGTGATAAGCATGAAAATGTATCTTTATAGTGTGTATTCATATATGTACAATCAATGTTTTATATCGCAATTTTAAAATATTAAGTATAAACACCCAAAAGGGAAATGCACATCTATATTCTTAATTTGAACACCATAATTATCCCTAAATTACTCTTTTTATTCTAGTTTAACAACTTATAAAACAGCGCTTCAAAAGATCCTCTTATATGTGTGATAGCTTACTCATGACATCTTATGCTTTAATTCACTAGATTATTATCTCACTTTATATCTAACATAACTACAATTGACTTTATATTAGGAATAATTTTAATGAATTTCTCCTTGATTATACATCCAATAAGCCATGAACAAGCTTGTTGGTGATCTCAGATCTAACATCTTATGTGCAAGTTTAATTTGATTCATTTCACCTAATATGAGCTAAACTTGATTTTGGCTTTTATCTCATTAGTTCTATAAGCATTTTCTTAAACTGTAACAGACACATCATACATAGTTAAATATAATATTCCATTTATTTTTTTTTTGTGTGCTAAAATAGTGATTGGGATTTCAAATTAATAAAAATTAAATTTGAGCATGAGGCATTATATTACCCATCATTAACTTAGAGATACTTTTTAGAGTTGACTCATGTACTTTGGAGTTATGCAAGTGTTCTCCATATATTGATTTATTACTTTTAGGTATAAATTATATGGATAATAAAAATATCTTTCCCTTTTATTAATTTCATGCAAATTCTAAGTTGGGCTTATAATTTAAAATGAATACTTTAATATTAAAGCATCATAGAGCCACCATCATTTATAGCATATATCTCTATAACATTATTTACTTTTATATGTAGCATGCTTATATTATAATCTATATTAGTAAAATATTACAAATTGGTTGACATTGTATCATTCTCACTTATATAACAGTTTGTAATTATTATTACTTTTTTTAAAACAATTGATCACATATGCAAGAACAATATTAAATAAATATGGATATATCATTTAAGAAAAAAATAATCAAATCATATATATTATTAACTCAATTAAATGAAATAAAATTAGGAACTATGCATAATGAAAGTAGTAATACAACACATTCAATTTGAAACTAATTGATTCTTATCAATCTTTGTTTCAAAAAAATACTTTATAAGATTAATCATTCGCTTTTATCTTTTTATAACTTCATATTGCCCAAGGATGCAATAGTTGATTAGTCTTTAAAAAGCTATTATAGGCATATAAACTCATGGTTATCATAAGATGCGTTTTATGCTTTGAATTATGTTTGGACCTTATTCAAATAAATATTTAAATCTTTTTTGAATCATGATTGAAAAGAAAATTGGATCTTTTTTTAATCACGTTTTGTCTTGGTTCAAATAAATTTGTATAAAACTCTAACACAACATATTGAAAAGAAAATTGAATCTTTTTATAAATCTTTTTTTAAACATGCTATATCTAACTTTGTGTTAATAGTTTCACCAATAAATCATAATTTATGTTACACAATAAAAATATTTAAAAATTCTTACTTATATGCACATTAAAATCACAAAAAGGGTCTTACCCTATTAAATCACGTGTGCATGTGTCTGCACGCGAGCATGCGGGAGATGGGGGAGAGGAATAGAGAGCTTCATCAAAGCTTAAAAGTTGATAATATGAAAGGGCAAAACATCTTTCTTAATCAATAATATTACAATTGTTATATATATACAATGTCTATTCCTC